ATATATATATATATATATATATATATATATATATATATATATATATATATATATGATATTTACAAGACTCTAGAATATGCCATTCTAGTCTATGATGTCCTAGAGATTTCTAGGACTTTCCCGTATTATCTAAGTTGTTCTTATATGATCTAGCGTGTTCTAGATCATTCTAAGGTCTTCTGAATTATTCTAGCATCTTCTTGATTATTTCGAACCGTTCCATCTTGTTCCATGATCATCTACAATATTATAGAATCTTCAAGGGTCTCATAGTGTGTTCTTGATCACTCCGGAGACTCGTCGTGTAACACTCGGTTTTGGATTTGCTTCGCCGCTCGGGGCTGCGGCCCAATCATCAGTTGTCATAAGGCTTAGGACCTTAGGAAAGGAAGGATTTTGCCCATTTTGGATATGGTTATCATGGTATAAGTAATCCAAGCATTCGATTGTGTCTGCGGAGGCCAGGGGTATGATCGTAATTTGATATCTGGTCTTTTATGGAGTTTGGATTTTTTCGGGAGATTTTAAGGTTTGGGTGTGTTGTTAGGAGCGTAAGGCTTCTCGCCACCTTTTCATGGATATAAGGTTCGTTGGAAATGGACTTAGGATTAGGGAGTTATGGTATTTTGAAGATTTTGGCAGAATTGGCCCCTAATGGAAATATTTGGCAGATCAGTCCCATGCATGCAAGGATGCATGCGAGTGTTTGGTTGGGTACACCCAGTGTAAGCTGGGGTACGCCCAACGTATAAAGATAAGTGGTTGCGGGTGGTTTGTGACTACGTCGGGCATACTAAGGGGTACGCGGGGCGTACTCTCTTTAGAGCAAAACCCTAATTTCGGGGTTCCTACCCTATATAAGCAACATTATACCACCCCTATGGTCATTTTAAGTCAGCCACCACCCCTTTTTACGTTCATGAAACCCTAGAGTGCCTTGGGTGAAGCTTGGAGCTTGAAAGAAGATTCTTAGTGGTTTGTGCAAAAGAAGAAAGTGAAAGACTCAACCTCTGGAGAAGAGCCTAGAGATCCAATGTTAGCATCTCCATTTCGAGACTTTTGAGGTATAAAGTATCTATCTTGGCTATTCATTGTATAGATATACTTTGGGTTGGTTTTTGGCCATTTTAGTCCCTTTTGCTTGGTCTTGGTGAGCTAAGGTTGTTTTAGGAGCTCAATCTAATAGATCTGGACATATTAAGGGTCCCCCATTCATAAAGGTGTAAGATTTGTGGAGTTTTTGAGTTCAAGCATGAGTTAAGACCATCCATTAAGCTCTTTTGAACTCTAGAGTCCCTTTAAGCCATGAATGCTAGTAAAGTTGCCAACTTTACTTAAAAAGTCATCCATAGGAATCAAACTGGAGAGTTAGAGCAAGGGCTGAAGTTATTAAGTGCTTACTGGAGAAGTTTGGAGTCCAGTGGAGTATGTTGGGCGTACCCACCTGGTACGCTGCACGTACTGGTCCCAAAGGGTGTACGCTTGGTGTACCAGATGAGTACGTTGGGCGTACTTGGCCTGGTTGACTCATCTTGTTTTGTTGACCTTTTGGACTTTGGACCTTGGACCAGGAGTTGACTAGGGTTAACCATTCAGTATTTCAGGCCTTTTTGGATATTGGGCTTTCTCGGGATAGGTCAATGATGGATTTGGGCCTATTTGGGGTAATTGGGCCTTGTGGTGCCATTTCGGGTTTGGGCTATCTTATGGGCTTGGATTACATGGATTTTTGTTGGGCTAGCTATGATTATGTGTTTTGGTTCAGAAAAAGTAAATGGACTTTAGGGAAAGGCCCATGTAAGGGTTTGGGCCTAATTTGGAAAATTGGGCCATTAGTGGGCTTTTGTGGATTTTGTGGTTTTGGGCTTGTTTGGTTTTGGGCTTGAGCCTTAGTTGTGAGTTTTGTTGGGACAGGGGTAAAATGGTCATTTTACCCCAAGTTTCGATTGTAGATCATGGTTTGGAACCCAATTGCTAATTGGGTGATATTTTGGTGTTGTTAGCTCAGGAAGTTGTCAGGGCAGCAGCTAAGGATTTCTTGCAGCGAGCTTCAGCATTCGAGGTGAGTCTCCTTATTATTCTATGGGTCGGAGGCACCAATGTCGGCCCATTTGGTTTATGTATAGTAGGAAGACCTGGGGGTTAGCCCTTGGCGTTATGTATGAAAGACCAGGAGGTGAATCCTGACACACTGTATGTAAGACCAGAGTCTGAACTCTGGCAATTATTAGTTAAGTAGTTGTAGATTGTATGCTAGTTATCTTTGTGATGCTTGCATGGAAGACCAGAAGGTGGCTCCTGACACTTGTCTGTAAGACCCAGGGTTGTGGCCCCCAGCCTGACAAGAAATACCATGAGGTGGCTCGTGGCATAATGGCAAGACTATGGTTGGCACATAGCACTCTTATTGCTTATGGTATATGGATGATATGTATGGCTCACGGTTATGTATGACATGTATGGCTCTTTGATATGTATGGTATGTGGTATTTGGGGAACTCACTAAGCTTTGTGCTTACGGTTTTCAGTTTATGTTTCAGGTACTCCAGTTTTCAAATGAAAGAGCTCGGGACGATCACAGCGCATACACCCGTGTTTTCCACAATATGTGATCTTTGGGAATGAACTCTGATAAATGCTTTGTATTGAAATGTTTGGCGATATTTTAAAAGAATTACTCTAGTGTTCTGAATATAATAAAAATGAAATTTTTACCCTTGATTTTTGGGATGTTACACATCATGTATTTTTTTGTCGTTCCAACATTTTCTACATGGTCCCGGAGACTTCTAGAAACTTTGTCCGTGACACAGATCTGCGTATCCAAAGCCATGCAGTGCTGGAACTCCAAGAGGCAGCAGAAGCTTACCTTGTGGGACTGTTTGAGGACACCAACCTGTGTGCAATTCATGCCAAGCGTGTTACCATCACGCCCAAAGACATTCAGCTTGCTAGGCGTATCAGAGGGGAGAGGGATTGATTTGTCATCTCATTTATGTTTGTGTTGCTTAAATCTAGACGTTATGTTATGTTTGATATTAAGCTTTCTAGTTTGTACCTCCTTAGTGCTAGTATCAAGTTTTGTTGTTCTTGAGATTCATGTTGTTGGATGATATTTTGGAGATTAATAGTTTGTTTAGTATTTGTGGTGTTTACTGATCTTTCTATCATGCTAATTTTTTTGTGTACAATAATTAAATGTTGGTTATTAGGGATTCAGAAAGCAAAGGGACATTTAAATGTGCATTTTCAAAGGGATTATTGAGACCTTTAGGGTTTAGGGTTATGTCTATGGTACAATTTTAGCAAGGAGCAAAACAATGATGGAATAAAAGTGTGCGTTTTACGCCCAAATGAGAGTTTCAAGTACTTATGGTTTATGATCCTTAAGGAATGGGGTGGAGGATGACGTTACATAACGCAGAAAGGTGATTGGTTAAAGTGGAGGGAAACAATAAGAGTTGTGTGACAAGAAGGTACTATTGAAACTTAAGATAAAATTTTATAAGGTGTCCATTAGGTCGGCTTTATTGTATAGATCTGAATGTTGGCTGATAAAGAAAGAACATTAAAAGAAGATATAGGTTGTAGAAATGATAATGTTGCGGTGGACATGTGTCAAGTCATTTGTTGGACATGATACCAAACACGAAAATTAGGAATTCTAGTGGTTCAGTGATGTTTAATAGGAGACAACAGACAACGGTTGTTAAGAGAGTTTAGACTACTATAGTGTCCGACACAAAGAGGAGATGTAGATCGAGAAGGAAATGGGAAGATAGTGTTAGGTCGGACATGAAGAAGTTAGGACTTACAGAGGACACGACCTAAGATAGGAGATTGGAGAGGCTTAGAATTTGGGTTATGGAGTATTATTGATGTAGCTTAGGTCCTAGATTCCTCCTCTTTGTTTATGCCTCTCGGACACTCTCTTAGGTTACACGATGTCATGGGGTTTTTGTCGATGGCATGCTGATGTGGACTACTTTGCCGGTAAACACCACCTCTTGACTAGTTTTTTTTTTCTTTTGCCATCAGCACTCTCCAGCTACACACTATTGTGGCCGAAGAGTTATGATATGCATCGAGAGACTTTTACAATTAGCATCACATAAAATACATTGCATGGGATTTAAGCATTATATTTTTTAATTAAAAAAAAGTCGGTAGACAAGGATGGCACCACATCCACTCGTAGGCAAAAAATAGTAAGAATTGAAAAACCTTATGTGACACCTATATAGCACCAAATTTTGGCAAGTAAAAACATCACCACACGTTTCGGCCTTATTTAGTTTTGCTTCCCTATTCACTTTGAGCATGTGTAGCTAGTATCTGCTAAAGGTTTTCTTTGGGTGAATGTTTCTACCACTTGGATATTTATGTATGTTCTCTTGCTTATCTTCACCTTTCTTCTCGTACAGATTTATTATGTTTTTTCAACTTATTTCCCCTGATTCACACCGCCTTTTATTCATCACGGATTAACGTTTTGTATGTAGTGAACTTTCATAGGATTGCAAAATTGTTATTTTTATATTTTCTTTTTCTAGCTGAAGGGATCTTTCCTCATTTTGTGGGACTGTCGGACACATTTGTGATTACAAAATTCTTTTTTCTAGCCGAAGGTCTTTTACGGAAGTGGTTTCGTTCTCTACATCCCCTTTACCCTATTTAGTATAGAACTGGGGTAATGTTGTCTTCGTCTTGTATTGCATTTGATTAGCTTTAAAGTGGATGAAAGTGGCATCAAAGGTACAAGTCTAAGGTGTAACATCATGATTCACGACTTATTCTTGATCCTCTTGTATGTGTGAATGACATACATGAAACGTCTTCATACTCCAATTGCAGTCTAAAGAAATTAATAAGTTAATTAGTTAGATTAAATTGGAAACCTAGCGGATTTGTGAAATGTTGCACATAAGAGATTGTATATAATGTGTAGAATACTAATAACTTTTTTCTTCTATCTTTCTCAATTTTTATTGCTGTATTAATAACAACATTGTCTAAGAATGGATTGAAGAATACACAAAACTCTACTCTAACGACACCAGTACTAGTACTAATTCTATATCAAGTAATGTATCCCTTTCTTTTCTTTCTCCCACCCAATAAACCATCTCCACAAATCTCATACTTTTGTTGCTCCCCTCTCACCAGTTTTCATCTAAAAACCTATCTACAATGCCTGTGATTTTACCCAAAAAGTATGCTTCTCAAAAACAACAAGAGCTTATGTTTACGACTTTTTGATGATTTCATTCTCTGTTGAATCCATTGACTCCATTTGACACAAGCAGTCAGGCAAAGGGTTGACATAAAAGGCCTCTTCTGAACGAAATCTATCCGTTCCTTTTGTCCCTGTGATTGGACCTTTTCTCTTCCGTGGTGACCCTTGCCTGCCATTAACATAAAACCAAATCAAAAAACTAGATGAAAGTAATGACCATTTTAACCCTTGTGAGGTCTTTTTGAACACATAAAAATGACTTGACAGTTGGTGTTTGAGAGACAAGGAAACAACATACCGTCTTTTGTGGATCTCAATTATCCGGCTCGAAAGTTTCTTGCCTTCTTTCATTGTGCCATTACTAATTTTGTCAAAAATACGAACAAGGAGTTTTCTGATCCACAAAAAAAATAAAAATAATTACAAGGGTCCAGTGTCTAAAATACAGCTAGTAAAACAACATTAGTAGCAAAAGTTAAGCATGTGAGTCAGTATTTAAATGATTTACCTGTCAGGAGAAATAGTTTTTCTGTGGCCTAAAAACCGCCTATGACCTTCAACTGCCCTTGCCATGTTCCCAGAATAAGAGGGAATAAAAATATCACTCTCCACTGAAACAATATAATCCAAAGCTGCCATTTGAGATGCATGCTCAATAAACGGATCAAGCTCCTCAACACTCGCCAATTTTTCCTTCAAACACAAACACAAAACATATGAATACAATTTGGATTTGCTTCAAATTCAAATTACCACAACTGTTACAAACTACACACCTTTCTCATTAACGTGGGAAAGCGAGATTGAAGAGCCTCCATACGCGAATCCCCACCATAGATTTCTCCAGCTGCAATGTATATAGGAGTTGTTGAAGGGAATCCAAGGGCTCTTAGAAAGATTCCAACTTCTTTTGGAGTCAATGGACAATACCCTTTTGCTCTTTGTTCCATTGAATCAATGTCTTTCACTTTCCAATACGATGTATTTTCTCTACAAAATAAAACCATTACATTTAATGTCAGCAAATGTGCTTGATACATAGGAAACATACGTTACATATTATTTATTGTTATAAAATATGTGTTTTACCTAATGGAAGTAAGCTCATTAGCTTCTTCAATGGATAAATCATGTGTGCATCCACTAAAAGCAAGCATGTCCTTTTCGTATCTCAAATGCAATGCAATGTAAGGTCCATAAGCCCGCATCCTATCCACCAACAACTACAAACAACAAATTATTTACTTTAAAGAAAACCCACAATTCAATTTAAAAAAAATAAAAATTATTTTAATTACTTTTCCCATTGCTTCTATACGAGGTGAAAAACGTAGGGCTTTGTAACATGCACGACAACGTAGCTTCTGAATATCAGGTGGAAGGTTATTATTGGCTAGTCTTGAATCAGATTTAGCTGCCCGAATAACCTAAAAAAATAGGGATCAAAATTGTCACAATTAATCATCTTTTTTGCAAAATGATATAAAATTTTGTACCTGATAATCATCCCACAAGCTTGCTATTTCTTGCTCATAGTAATCAATCCCAGACCAGCTTCTAAAGTGCTTCACAGCTCTAGTAGCACTCATCAATTCTTTTGGAAGCTTTCTGATTATTTTCACATCATCAGCCAATGAAGTAATGAAATAATCTTCATCAAATACATCCGAGAAGTTGCTGCATATTCAAAGATATATAAACTTTATTATATCAAGAAACCCAAAACTTCAAATTTCAATTATTTTGTTTATTTAAATAAAAATGGTACCTTGTGTCCTGCCAAAATGAGCGTTTATCAAGCTCTGGTACCACAAGAGTTGCATTTATAATACGTGCAACTGCTACCATATCACATATCTGTGAAAACAAGTCACATTTAATGTACTTTCAGTGATTTGTTTACAAATATAAACAAGAAAATTTTAAAAGTAGAATGATTTGATAAGGAAAAAACAGAAAAGTATGTTGTTATGTAAGAGAAACATACCCCAGCACGCATTTGATTGAGCCCACCATTTGTATGAACAAGCAAGTAGCCTCGAGTTTCTTGTGGAACTAAGTAAGATTATTAAGATTAACATCATAAAATGATAAAAAATAAATCATTTTTTTTTATAAATTTAAGAAGCAAAATCACGAGTTCTAACCTATATAAGATGAACTTGGATCAACACAAGGGGCAAAGTCACGATTAGGTGGAGGCTTCCATAACTTGTGGGAATCCAATGAGCTGTTGGCACCATCCAACTGTCAAGTCTAAAGGAGTGAAAACATGAAAGATCATTTTTTCAAACTTATAGTATTTTTTTATGTTTTTTTGATATTGAATGATCAAGTTAGAGTGGCTCAAAAAACGCATTGACCCTTCTTTAATGACTCAGGCACAATGATTTTGAGAGAGATCATGTGTGAAATGGTAGATGAAAGATTTTAATTGGATTTAAAAGATGAAAAAGTAGAAATTGGAAATCATAAAAGTTATCTGTTGAGTGAATCACATTAACCTTGAGAGCAGGGAGAGGAGCTTTTGAGAAATGGGGTTGAATCCAGCTTCGCTCTTTGCTCAACTTTTGGTATCGAATTTCATGTTGCTACAAACAAAATCAGACATTTTTAAGTTGAAATTCGATTAAAAAAACACACAAAGTTACAAGAAATAGTACTTTCGATGATCATAAGATGACAAAAGATCATTAAGAAGTAAAACCAGAAAAAAAAAATCAAGAAATATAACTTTTTAGTGTCCAGATTCATGTTGCAACAGATTTAGAAACGAACCACGATCGGTGAAAATCGCATTCAACAATTTGAGTAATACCCACAAAAAAAAAAGAACAAAAAACAGAGATTTAAAAAAGTTACGAAAAACCCTTAAAATCCCCATTTGATCACAAGAAAAAATTAACCAAATACCCATAAGGTTAGCAATGATCTGCCCAATTTAGAAACTTTTAGTGATTGAAGTTTTGAAAAATAAAGATTTGCTAGCAAAAGAAACCTTCAAACATGACTTTTTAGAAGATGAATCTTTAAATCTTGGTTTAGAACAGTAAACTATTGAAAAAAAAAATCACATTCTTACCACTAAATTAGAATCGATTCAAGAAGAGTAAACTAATTTATTTAACAACAAATATAACACGAAAACTAAAACCCTAGTTCAAGATTTAAAACCCGTATTCAGAAACAGGTAAAGAAAAATCACCGTTGGGAGCTTGTAAGGATCAGGAAGCATAGAAACTTGTGAAGGAGGGAAGAACAGATGCAAATGAGCAGAAAGCAAAGCCACCAATGAAATTGAAGCTATTGCGCACGTTAGCAGTCGCCGCATTAACCCTAACTTCCTCCATCTCTTTTTTTGCATCTCTATAATATTTCTTTTTTACTTTGCTGAAATCAATGAAGACACCAGTTACACACAGCATCAAGAACACGCACTCCTCTTTTTTTGTCGATCAAGATCTTCAAAAGGAATGATTTTGCCAGATGGGTTCCTTTCTTTCTTTCTCTCTCTATATCTATTCGTTGTATATATATGTGTTGTTTTTTTTATACTTTCGTCGACGTCTAATGCTTCTGGCCCTTTTCAAGTAGGACTTGGTAAGTTTTCAGCAAAGAATTTTGTACATTTATTGTGCTAATTTAAATAGGAAAACAGAAAATTCGGTTCAATTTTGGATTTTGTGTGAATATTTAGTTTCATCTCCACTAAGTGTAAGACTCATGTATTATATGGGTTAATTAAAAAAAATTAAATATAAATATCTAAATATTTAACAACTTTGGATTTATAAGAAAATAAGAAAAATAATGAATTATTAAAATTAATTTTTTATCTTTTAAATTTAAATAAATAAACAAAATAAATTAATATGTTTTAATTTGCGAATTTTGAAATAAAAAGGTAACTATATTAATGAAATTAATATTCATTTATTACTACATTTATTGTAGTTATTACATTAAAATATTATGTGAAATTTATTAAATAGAAAAACTCATAAAATGACATGTAAAAAACTATAAAATAACATTTGGCAATTTGAACGAGAGTGTGACATGTGACAAAAAAACCTTCATTTATTATAGTAGATATTTATTTTGGTTTCTATTTTAATTGAGTTATGCTATTCATATATTCCATTATTAAATATAAATTTTTATTTTAAGTTGCTAATATCTATTTTATGAAATATATTCTTAATTAACTTTTATACACTATTAATTTGATGTTATTATTAAATCAAAACGGTGTACAACAAATAAAACAATATAGAAATAATAGCATCATTTTAATTTAATAAAATTATATATATAAAGAATTTCTTTTTTATTTATTGTTTCTTTAAATAAAAATAAAGAAAATTCCAATGATCCTTGTGGTTTCTGTTTTTTTTATTCAGTATAAAATAATTTCAACTTACACTAATAGTTTAGAATTTGATTATTTTTATGACTTTGGTCCCAAATAATTATTATGTATTTTTTATTTGTTTTCCGATTCTTCATTTGTTTAATATTTTAAATTTTTAGAAATTAAAATAGGGCCTCTCTCCCACTTTCCTTTTTTTTAACATCTCACATATACAATTTTAAATGTTACTACTAAACATATATTTATCTACAACGAGATTTGCACTTTCAACTCTTTAAATTGGTGTGTATGGGTCACACTCATATACACCCACAACAGTGTTACATCACCATCTTCTCTCCACCACTCTTAGAGTGGATGATCTTTGTGTTTCTGGTTTCGTTTGATTCAGTGTAATTTTTTTTGACAAAACTACAAAATTGATTAATGTGGTTTTCAAAAATTTATGGATATGGTCCAAAAAAGTTTCACTTACATGAAATGTCTAAATTCAAAAAATTCTCGTGGTTTTAATCTCTGAACAATTTGAAAAAAAAAATATTAGTGTTTTACCCTTTTAAGAATATGCTCTCGATAAAGCCATATATCACCACCACCATTATTCATTAAAAACCTATATATATATATATATATATATATATATATATATATATATATATATATATATATATACACTTGACAGAGGAGACAACCACCAGATTTGTCCGTTCCCAATCCCCTTCAAAGAAATTAAGAAAATCCCCTTCAAAAACTTAAGGTTGAGGCGGAGGTAAATCTCATTATAATGTCAATTTAATTTGGTTTCCTGAAACTGAACGGTCTATGTTTATAACACAATAAATCATATTAAATTTGTTGAATTGATATGTGATTGCCCAATAATGGCACTATTTTGATAGAATGTTGAACATTATGTGCATGTAATTATATAATCTAGAGTAAATTACACAAATGGTCCCTATGGTTTAGGGTAATTTGTGCGTTTGGTCCGTAACTTATTTTTTTAACTCGGAAGGTCTCTAATGTTTGTTTTTGTTACACGCTTGATCCCTATATTACCTATAAATACTATTTTGCCCTTGATTTTTTAATTTATTTAAATAAATACACCCCCAACCCCACCATTCTCAACTTACCTTACCTATCCCACCATTTTTTCCTATTTAAATAATAGTATTTTTAGGTAAAATAGGGACCAAGCGCGACAAAAACAAACAGTAAGGACCAAGCACGTAACAAAAACAAACAATTTGGACCTTCCGAGTTAAAAATTTAAGTTGGGGACCAAACACGCAAATTACCCCAAACCATAGGGACCATTCGTGTAATTTACTCTATAATCTAAAAGTAGGTGGAACCTGCAGGGAAAACAAGCAAAAGGAACCTAACAAACATCGGAGACGAATTGTTAGAGTAATGAAGAAAATGTTGTTGGGAAAATTGACCATTCTTCAATGTTTTGGACATATCTCAAGCTATGGAGCTCTGATTGACCTGATTCAAGAAGTTTCGGAAACTAGAGACAATTTCCTACAACTTTCATGTTTTGAGTTTCCACTGATCCTGTTGTTTCCATCGCCAAAATGTGCATGGAAGATGAAGGGCGCCCATGGACATCAATGACGCTGTGAAGGACATCAAAGTCAAAAAGGTCAACATCCAAGTAGACTTGTAACAAGCCAAAAATTCAAATAGAATTTTTCATTTAATAGTTGGAAATCTCATTCATATTTGTTTCTCCAAAGTTCCATTACATAAATATATTATTCGTGATCAGAGTTTCCAAAACAACTAATGCGGAAATACTGGATAGTGCATGTTGCGCCATCAAGCCGGACCCTTTCCCTTAGAGCCAGAAGTACCTGAAACACCCAACAAAAATGTAAGCACACGCTTAGTGAGTTTCCCAAAATACACAAAACACATAACCATATAATGTCATGCACATATACACATAAATCTGTCATGCACTCCCTACATGGTCTTCAACCGGGATGCCATGGGCTACCCCCATGGTCTTATACCTAAGGGTCATGAGCTCCCTCTCATGGTCTTACCAAGTGTCATGGACTCCCCCATGGTCTTCACATAAATCAACACATACCAAATAACAAACCATTGCATATTCAACTATACAATTCACTTATTAAGTAATGGGTCGGCATTAGTGCCTTCGACCCATTAGTATAGTGAGAAGACTCACCTTAGTCTGCTAATCTAGTCACTGCTCGACTACCAGCCAAAAAATCTCGCACTGGACAAATATACAAATACCCTAATGAGGATTATAATTTACCCTAATTAAAAAGCCCGGAAATCTAAGTCCAAGTTCCTCCATAGTGGCCCAAAGGACATTCCTTTACTAATGAGCCCAACATCCAAATTCCGCAACCATGATGGGCCTCAAGGCCTAAAAGTCCCAACTAAGCTACTAATGATCCAATAATGAATTCCATGGCCCAACTGATCCAAAACCTCAGGTCCAAGGTCAAAAACCCAAAATCCACATAAGGCCCAAGGGTTTGAGCCCAACACTTAACAAGGTTGCCTGAACCGTACGCTCGGAGTACACAATGGTACGCGCAGCGTACCTCAGTCGGAGGCAGTACTCACAACGTACATGGGTGTACGTGCGGCGTATGCGCCAGTTATACAACATTCCATGCAAAGACTTAATGCATTAAGATTTTGCGTCCAAAACTCAGATCTGGACCCATTAAGACCTCTAGGGCTATAAAGTTGCCAACTTTAAGCCCTTGTATGGCTACAAGAAGTCCAAAAGCAAATATCAAGTCTCCTAAGCCCTTTCCTACATCTTATCTCAAAAATGGGGACCAACCCACCCCAAAGCTTGCACCTTTAAGCATTGAGACACTAGAATATAATTGAAAATGCAACTAAAAGGCTTGGGAGTAGCTCATACTCACCAAGATCTAACCTTTTTGGGTCAAAAGGGAAAATCTAGCCTCAACCAAGAACTTAAGGAAATACAAGCAAATATTTGAGCTTTATACCTCTATGTGGTGCCAAATGAGTAGAAAATGTTGGATCTAAAGTCTTGGAGACAAAGCTTTCTTCTTGTACCACCTTCTTCACCACCAAAGAAGCTCAAAATCTCACTACAAAGCTCAAGAGGTTCAACAATGGCTAGGGGCCACTAAGATGTATTTGGATCTGAAGAAAGATTACTGGTGGCCCTGTATGAAGAGGGATGTAGCATGGTTTTGTTGAGAGGTGCTTGACATGTCGCAGGGTTAAGGCTGAGCACCAACGTCCGCACGACAAGTTGCAGCCACTTGAGGTTCCCCAGTGGAAGTGGGAACAGATTTCCATGGATTTTATCACCAAATTGCCAAGGACCACGAGGGGTGTCGATGCGATTTGGGTGATTGTCGACCGGCTGACGAAGAGCGCTCACTTCCTTGCTATCAGTGAGAGCTCTTCTGCAGAGAGATTGGCAGAGTTGTATGTGAGGGAGGTGGTATCGCGGCATGGAGTACCGATCTCGATTGTGTCAGACCGAGATGTACGTTTCACTTCCAGGTTCTGGAAGAAGTTCCATGAGGAGTTGGGTACGAGGTTGCATTTCAGTACCGCTTACCACCCACAGACGGACGGGCAGAGCGAGCGGACGATTCAGACGCTCGAGGACATGCTCCGAGCATGTGTGTTGGACTTCGGGGGAAGTTGGGACACGTATCTGCCGTTGGCTGAGTTTTCTTATAACAGCAGCCACCATTCGAGTATTGGTATGCCTCCCTTCGAGTTGTTATACGGGAGGAGATGTCGGACTCCCATTTGCTGGGGAGAGGTAGGGCAGCGCGTGATGGGAAACACTGAGATAGTGCTTCAGACGACCGAGCAGATACAGCAGGTTAGACAGAGGTTGTTGACGGCTCAGAGTCGCCAGAAGAGTTATGCGGATAGGCGACGATCCGAGCTTGAGTTCCAGGTGGGAGACTTCGTACTCCTGAAAGTGTCCCCTTGGAAAGGAGTGATTCGATTCAGGAAGAGGGGCAAGCTGGGGCCCCGGTATATTGGCCCGTTCAGGGTGACCGCGAGGGTGGGAAAGGTAGCATATCGTCTAGAGCTACCCGAGGAGTTGAGCCAGATTCATGATACCTTCCACGTGTCTCAGTTGAGGAAGTGTATAGCCGACGAGTCAGCGGTGGTGCCGCTGGAGGATATTCAAGTGAATGCGAAC